TTAAAAGAAGAAAGCAAGAAAACTAATTAGGCGTGTGGGGGAAGAGAAGAAAGCCTGGATGGGACATCTTGCACACTTAGTTGCATATCCTTCCAAATGAATCAACAGGGTGTTGCCTCTTATAAGCAATAAGGAATGAAGAATAAAGATCTAAAAGCTGTGAAAAGAATTACGGAGGGATTTTCTGCATTCGACACTTGATATTAGATCTGAGTTTGAATCTAAATGCAAAAACTTCCGTGGCCCTTCTGTATCTTCCGAAGAAGTTTCTTCCCTTGCCCTTCTGTGCCTTTCAAAACAAATTGTTTACTGATTATGTACGTCCCAAAACAAGTTATGTTTCAGTTTTTCATGACCCAGAACAAGTTGTTTCTCAATTGTGGCTCTTTATTGTCCTTAAGTTGCCGTTTTCCACTTAAAAGGGACAGAAATCATGCAAATAAGATCTAATTTCGAAGCGCTGAGATCCACAGGCTCATTGCAGACTTTCTTGGCTTTTTTTTGCTTAATAGGTTTCTTAAGCAGCCAGGCGCTTAGGCTGGGCCGCCCGAAACTAACTTCAACTTCTGAACTTAGTGCAGCTCTTCACGTTGAAAAATCGACGAGATAATATGAAATTTAGAAAATAAAAAAGGAATTGTGACGAAGTTAATCTAAAATATGCTGTTTGGCTGGTGAGACTTCCCGGCATTTGAAAATGTGAAGAGGCTTCGCCTCCGCAATGTGAAAGACGAAAGTGACCACACAGCCTCTTGTTCGACAGAAAAAACGAGTTTCCCTCAAACTTTGGAATTAAATTCAATGAAATTATTATTTAAATCATCATTAGTTGCATTCTGTGCGACATTAAGACTACTTTGGGCGTGTTTGTGGCTTTTGGGAATCTACTTTCTTGCACGCGGCGGGTCTTGCGCTGAATTTCTTCCATTTTAGGTGAGAAGGCCAGCACTTTCCCATTTCTCTGTCTTTCGGAAGGCTTTTCGTGTATATGTGCGTATATTCGGTAGTGTTCTATTCAGTGGCTCCGACGATCCCGCGAAGTCCATTCCTCGCATCCAGTGCGGCTATGTTTCAGAACCCGCGCTTACTTCCCCTTACTTAAGCACAGAATGGCGTATGCGGCAGTCTGGGTGGCGATGCACCGCCTGTAGTAAGCAAAGTTGGGAATTGCTAGAAGAAATAGCCGAAGTGATGCGCCAACACGGGTGGCATTCCAAAAAGCCCGCGTAACTGCGCGTATTTCTCAAATGAGGAGCAAAATATATAATTTTGGGAAAGCAATTTTCAAAAACTAGGCCAAAAAAGGACCTTAATCGCTCTGCAGCGCGGGAACTCGCACCGTGCATTGCACGGAGTCTCTGCCCCATTGCTGCCAGCCCCAGATCCTTCCTTGCAGAAAAGTAGGAACCGCCAAACCCAGCGAAGAGCCCTCTTTTTTCTAGAGTTTTCAGGGACATTGCAGTCAGGACGTGTTTAGGGCGGTGCATTTTACTTTTCAGGGGAACTTCTGGGGTTCGTTGTAGTGCCTAGCGCCGCAGCACCGACTTCACCGCAGCCGTTTGCGAAGGCGTTGTCGAGTGTCTGGAGGAGGAAACTCGCGTCGTCCTTTCGCGTTGTCGGACACAGGAACTGGATTTCGAAAATGAAGGATATGAAGGGGAAGCTAGAGTAGCAAAAACGGGCCCATCTGCGAGGAACCCAACCCCCGCGCTCCTCAGGCCGGAATGCCAGGAAAAGGGAAATCCGCCGCTGCGCCGCCTGCCACGCGGTTCCGACTTGTGTTCCTACTGCAATAGGTAGCTCGGCAACAAAGCGTAAAATAATCCCTATTTTATTTGTATTGCTTGAGTTTGACACACCCGTAGTTGGGTGGGAAGTTCCCGGTGACGGCAGCACCCCCGGAGGCAACGTCGATCTGTCGTTTCAGCAGGAGGCGGAACCTGTCGGAAACGCCTCTGCGGAGCCATGCAGGCAGTTGGTTCTTTTATATTTTTGCCGAGTTTAGGAATGCGTTCAAGTTTCGCGGTGTGGGTGGTGTGCTGCGCCGCAGCGTAGGCATGTGGCCGCGAGCTTGCCGCCGTGCGTTTGCCAAATGGTGTCGAGGAATTAATGGCGCGTTTCTCTTTCTACGCCCCTCGTTCTCAGTCCTTAGCTAAATAAGGCGATTTGGGAATTTTTGCTTCCTTCCAGCTGCAGCTTTCTGCCCGGGCGCCGGCGGGATGAGCAGGCAGGCGCACCGGATCTTCCGCAGCGGCAGCGCCATTCACCCTCCCGGCAAGATGCGGGGCGACTTGGCAAATGCAATACTTGAAGAGGGAGAATTCCGAGCCCGGAGTCGCCGCGCAGCAGCTCACGGGAAGCAGCTGGGGCCCAGCCGGCTGCACTACGTGGGTTTCGCCGTGGCCAGCGTGCTGCTGTACACGATCATCTGCAGGGCGCTGGCGGCTTCTTCCGAGGGCCTGCGGCTGCAGCACGAGTTCGGGGAGGACCTGTGGCTGCCCTACAGCAGCGCGTCTGCGCTGGGGCGGCAGCAGCAGCAGCAGCAGCAGCAGCAGCAGCAGGAGCCGGAGCCGCCGGAGCCGGGTGGCGGGGAGGAGGGCGTTTCTTCTTGGGAGGACGGCGCGGCCTCCGCCTCTGGGGAGGCCGCCGCCGCAGCAGCAGCAGCAGCAGCAGCAGCAGCAGGGGAGCAGAGCTCGACAGCAGACCCTCCGTGGGACTACGACTCGTGGGGTCTGCCGTCTCTGGAGCACTTCGAAAGGACTTTATCTCCGGAGCTGCAGCAGCAGAAAGCAGCCATAGCGAACTTCGCCGCGCGCTTTGCGCAGCAGCCGCGGCCCCCCACGCGCCGCGAACTCGCCTGCGCCAGCAGCGTGGCCAAAGCCCTCTCCAAAGGCGCCTCCAACACACTCGTGGGAATGCTGCTGCCGCTGCAGCACGTGAGCGCCATAGGCCGTCTGGCGGGGCGGCAGCAGCCGCCGCGGCTGGTGCGGGTGGTGCGGATTTTGGGGGAGGGTTTCTCGACTTTGGCTGTGGAGGTGGAGGACGTGGAGGCTGGGGGGGCGTTGGTGATGCGAATTCGGAAATACCACAAAGAGGCTGTCAAGAACTTTGAAAACTCCGAAGTTTTGTTCCTCGAAGTCAAGAGCGAGATCGTCGCGGAGGAAGACGCCGTGCGGCAGGCCTGCGGGGCCGTGCCCGCGGACTTAGTGGCTGCGAAGAAGGGCTTCGCCGTGCCGCTCTTCACCGCGGAAATTGCAAGTTCGCCGGAATTCTCTGTCACCGAAGACCACTACGTGTTTGGGCACGTGGAGCTGATGGAGAAGATGTGGGGCTCTTTGGCGGACCTGCAGAAGCAAGCTGCTGCTGCGCTGCAGCAGAGCCGCGACTACGTGGCGCAGCGGCTGCTGCAGCTGGTGCTGAAGGTGCAGCAGGCCGGCCTCAGCCACAACGACTTGAAGTGGGCCAACGTTTTGCTGCAGCCCGACGGGGCTTTTTGCCTCAGCGACTTCGGCTCCAGCGTGGCCTTTGGCCGCGCCTTCGGGAGCCTCACGGCCACCACGCCGCAGTACCAGGAGCCGCAGCAGACTCTGCGGCCTGCAGCAGCTTTCGAAGATCCTTACACAGTGGCGCATGCAAACAGCGACTTGTGGTCTCTGGGGGTGCTGCTGTTCGAGCTCTTCACCGGCAGCGGGGCCCCCTACGGGGAGGGCCCCTCCAAGAGCCCGCGGGCGGAGGCCAGGGCCCTCGCTGAGAAGCTCTTGAAGCAAAAAGTCCGCTCCGAAGTCCTTTGGCCCAAACTCGCTGCTGCCAAAGTCCCCCACCGCTGGGCCCAACTCATTGCCCGCCTCCTCGAGCCCAACAAGGCCCACAGAATCACCGCCTGGCAAATCCTCGAGGAATTCCCAGACCTCACGCACCACGTCCCCGAGTAGTTGCCCCTGACGCATGCATGCACAAGCGTGCATGCATAAGCATGCAAGTGCATGCAACTGCATGCAAGTGCATGCAAGTGCATGCAAGTGCATGCAAGTGCATGCAAGTGCACAAGCATGCGCTCCGCAGCACTTGCATGCGGCCTTTGCGGACTTGCATGCAAGCGAGAGAGACTTGCATGCAACCGAGAAAGACTTGCATGCGGCCTTTTCGGGACTTGCATGCAACTGCGAGAGACTTGCATGCAAGCTCGAGAGACTTGCATGCAGCCTCGCAACACCTGCATGCAAGCTCTTTCAGACTTGCATGCAGGCTCTTTCAGGCTTGCATGCAAGTCTGAGAGAGCTTGCATGCAATGCAACCTCTTCAGGACTTGCATGCAAGCTCTTCAAAACTTGCATGCAAGCTCTTCAGGACTTGCATGCAAGCTCTTCAACACTTGCATGCAAGCTCTTCTTCAAGGCTTGCATGCAAGCTCTTCAGGAGTTGCATGCACTCTCTTCAGGACTTGCATGCAAGTTCTTCAGGACTTGCATGCAGTCGCTTTAAGACTTGCATGCACTCTCTTCAGGACTTGCATGCAAGTTCTCCAGGACTTGCATGCAAGCTCTTCAGGACTTGCATGCAAGTTCTCCAGGACTTGCATGCAAGTTCTTCAGGACTTGCATGCAAGTTCTCCAGGACTTGCATGCAAGTTCTCCAGGACTTGCATGCAAGTTCTCCAGGACTTGCATGCAAGTTCTTGATGCATGCAGTCTCTTCAGGACTTGCATGCAAGCTCTTCAGGACTTGCATGCAATCTCTTTTTCAAGACGCGCATGCAGTCTCTTCTTCAAGACTTGCATGCACTTTCTTCAGGACTTGCATGCACTTTCTTCAGGACTTGCATGCAAGGATCTCACCGGGGCCTTCTCCAAGTCTTGCATGCAGCAGACTTTGCTGGGGCCTTGTTGAAGTGTTGCATGCATCTGGGGCTTTCTTGTTGCATGCATTCGGGGCTTTCTAGTTCAGTATTGCATGCATCTGGGGCTTTCTTGTTGCATGCATTCGGGCTTACTAGTGTAGTATTGCATGCATCTGGGGCTTTCTTGCTGCATGCATGCATGTGGGGCTTTCCAGTTCAGTACTGCATGCATCTGGGGCCTTCTTGTTGCATGCATGCGGGGCTTTCTTGTTCAGCATTGCATGCATGTGGGGTTTTCTTGTTGCATGCATCTGGGGCTTTCTTGTTGCATGCATGCGGGGCCTTCTTGTTGCATGCATGCGGGGCTTTCTTGTTGCATGCATGCGGGGCTTTCTTGTTGCATGCAAGGAAGTAAGTGCAGGCCACTTGGCGCGGCGATGTGGCCGTGGCTTGCGAGTTGGTAGAGTGGATTTGAATTATGAATTGTGTCTTTTATTTGTCTGCTGCTGCAGCAACTGCTGCTGCTGCAGCAACTGCTGCTGCTGCTGCTGCAGTTCGCTTTCACTTTTATGTTTTCGAAGGGTGGACTTTGCGGCGCTTTGCAGCGCCTTGCATGCAAGCGGCTTTGCATGCAGACGGCTCTGCATGCAAGCCGCTTTGCATGCAAGCGCCTTTGCATGCAAACCACTTTGCATGCAAACCACTTGCATGCAAACCACTTTGCATGCAAACCCGCACAGCACTTGCTCTTCTTTGTTGTGCAGTTACGTTTTGTGGGGCCCCCGGGGGCCCCCGCCACCCATCTTCTGCAGTCAACGCTCGAAGACTTCTGCAGTCTTTTTAATTTCTTAAGAACTTCGACTTAGTGCGAATTCGCTTTTGTTGAAGACCTCGCATGGCCCCTGGCCTTCAACTTCGCTGCGAGTTCGTATTTGGCAGAGTCCTTTGCAGGCAAAAAGTGCAAACAGATTTCTTACAGACTCAACTCGCCAGTCCGCCGCCTGCAGCGCCTCCCGCTGCGCTGGGGGCCGCTGCAGCGGCGGACTTAAGGGCTTTTGGACTTGGGAAAAAAAGCTTTCAGTATTTGCTGCACTTGGGAACTGCGGGGAGGCTGGGGCCTCGGAGTTGCTGTGTGCGGCCGCGAGCCGCGGAAAGCAGAAGCTGGCCAGCTGCCGCGGCTAGGGGCGCTCGAGGGGCCCCCGGGGCCTTTAGACAGCTTTCTCCTGGCCACGAAGTTGCAAGAAAGCTGGCTAAGAGGCCCGCAGAAGAAGAAAAGAGCCCAAGGGGCGGAGGTGTACGCAGTTTCGAGCCAGCGGGTGCTCTGGTTTCCGCGCCACTCGCGTTTTCGCGCGCTGTGCAGCAGCCAAAGAGCCCCCGCGCCCGGCTTTGCGTGTGAAAATTATTATTAAGTTGGAATTTTGCGAAAGAAGCGGCTTTCGTGGCTGGGGGTTGGGCATGCACGTTGCACTACACACGATCCTCTCCGCCGTCCGCAGAACAGCAAGGCGGTTCTCGGGGAAAAATAGCGCGTTTGGGAGTTTCGCGCTGGCGGATGTTGTTTAAAAAGGAAAACTTCCCACTTGGGAAGTTAAACTGCGTGTTTGGAGTAAAAGTATCAATGTATGGCGGGCAATCGGAGGGGGTTTGCTGCGGTGCCGATCACTCACTACTGCACTGGGGAGTGTATGTACAGGGCAACTCCGGGGAGAGCAGACAACTGCGGCGGCCCAATAGGCTTTTTCAGGCGGCAAAAGAGCATTTTTTTGATTTCATTTTGAAAGTCTGTGGAGTTCCTGCGTGGGGAATTGGGGAGTTGGGGAAACAGGGGAGGCTGCAGCGTTGGACCGCCACAACATGCGGGAGCGGAAACTGGCGGTTGCTGGTGGTGGGAGGCGGTGAAGCCTCCGGAGTCCTTCGGCAGTTTTCCAAAGCGAAGCTTGGCGAATTGCGTTAGCAGCGAACTTTGCAAAACTTGCAAAAGCTGCCCCACGCGGCTTTCGAGTTCGGAGGCGCGGCTCGATCGGCAGGCCGGGCTGGCGCGGCGCAGCAGCAGCAGCAGCAGCAGCAGCAGCAGCAGCGCGGGCCGCGTTTGCGGCGAAGTCCGCGGAAGCGAGAGGAGGGGGGCGATCCCCACAGCGCCTGGGCGCTCCGCCTCGAGAAGATGCACTGGCAGCTGGAGGCCACCTCGGAAGGCAGCGTCAGCTTCGAACCCGCCTCCAGCGACCCCGCCGCGTCTCTGCGAAACTCCAAGACTTCTACTTCGCGGCTGCGGGCCCTGGAGGGCAGCCTCTTGGGGCCCCCGCGGCGGCAGCAGCAGCAGCAGCAGCAGCAGCCGCCGAAGGCCCGCAAGCGGCGTTTTCTGCTGCCCGCGGCCTTCCTGGCGCTGGCGAGCTTTTTGCTGCTGGCGCTGAACCTGAAGATCCCGCAGCTGGCGGGGGCCCGTTCGGGCGCCGTGGAGGGGCCCCCGAGCGGGGCCCCCCCGTCCCCGGGGCCCCCCGCGGGGCCCCTCCCCGGGCCCTCGGAGCCCTGCGGGGGGGCTGCGGAGGCCCCCCCGGAGCAGCCGGGGGCCCCCCCCGCGGCCGGGGGGCCCCCCCC